CCAAAATTTTATTGCAGATTCGGGTTCCTCTCGCCGAGCGCGGAAAGACCCCGCCTTCAGAAAAAAAAAATAAACAAATTCTCGGGTGTTTTTCGGCCCGCCCGGTTTGCCCGGGTGGCCCCCCCGGGCACGCCCGGCCGGGTGTGGCCCGGCCGGGCGCCGTCCTCACCCAGTTATGAAGAGAGTTACCGCTTCTCTTCTTTTCTGCCTATCATACTTGATGGTCCCATTCACCAGGTGTATATTGTTTTATGTCTTTGTAGCATAAAGCCCGTTTGAACTTGATGCATGAAGTAGTCTTGGTGGGGAAGCATCCTGTTTGTGAGGGCTTTGGAGATGATTGTGTAGGTACAGGGAGTAGGGTGATAGGTCTATAGTTTCTTATGTCCGTCTTCTCCCCTTTTTTGTACAACAGTATTGTTAACCCTTGACTCATCAGCCCCCCAAACGACCCCTCTTGTCTAATTGCATGGATGCATTTGGTGAAGCTGTCCTTGAACACGTCCCAAAAACGCAGCCAGAAGTCTTTCATCATCATTCTGCCATGGAGTGAATGCTGGTTGCAGTGTGCTTGTGAGTTGAGTTTCATCTTCACGGTTTTCTTGCATAGCCTTATGGCTATGGCTTCTTCCCATTCTGTGGAATGTCAGCTCGATTCCTTTTCAACAGGCAATTCACTGTGTACAAGAAGTCCAAATGGTTTTCCCCGTTTCCCAGGCATCAATCGTTCTAATTATTTACTAACTCAGCAGGGGTGAGTGAAATTTTACAGTGCAAACTGAGGATCATTCTGAGGAATTACTGCCCAATCCCCTCGCTCCAAGCTATGGCCAGACTGCAAGGCCATGAACAGCAAGTCAAAATGCCACATGAAGTCAACGTGATGGATGTCCCAGCTCAACTGAGAACACTGCCCACTTCTCTCATTTTCTCTTCTGCAGCCACTCTTCGCTCCTGTTCTCCCACCCTCACACGCACCCCCTTAACCCACTCCCTTCTTGTGTCTGTCCTCATTCCTGGACCATCAACATTTATACCCATTACTTTTTAGTGAAAGGATTTTACAGTCCACAAAGGTCCCAGTGCCAATTAATCCGGTAGGCTACTGTTGCAGCAGGGTAGGCCTAGGGTCTGTAGGATGAGGTCGTAGGTAGGTAGCTACAGTACCTGCAAGTACGTCAAGTCCCGAAAGTTCAATTTGCAGCCGGCCCCCAACGAAAGTCGGGAACTTTCCCAAAATGGCAATAGGCCGCAGGAGGCTGGTACCAATTGAAGCATGCACAGACAGCCCACTGCAACTAAACATTTTGGGCTACAGTGCCGGAAGGCATTCAGTTGTTCATTTCACAGAATTGTGGAAGCGCTACAAGAGCTTGTGCAATCAAGCGACCTGGACAAAGGAGTGCAAGGGGGAGAAGTGCGCAGCGCCTGGCTCCTACAGTCAGCCATATCCAGAGGGGAGAGGTTCCCTGGCGGCCATAGCCGCCCAAAATCAGCAAGGCACACCGTGGTGCAATGACTTGCTGATTTCGACTGCCGAGATTGACTGCGAGGCTGTACACTAACCGGTAGGGTTAGATTTGTAATTTTGTTTGGCTGAGGGCTAACCGAAAGACCTCCCTGTAAGGAAATTCGTGAGGGACAGATCTGCAAATCTGGGAAAGTACAGGCCCAGCACTAACCCGAATTCCTACAGCTACCCTAACTGCCTATAGCAGGCCCGGGCTACCCCTAGGACAGACAGGCCCTAAGCGGCCTAGGCTGCTAGACGGTCCTATAGCCTATAGCCGGGTCCGGTAGAGGCCGAGAGACCGAAACAGCAACGGTACCGGTCGGTCAGTCAGTCCGGTCTAGGTCTAGAGAGTCTATAGATAGGTTAGGCCCA